CATGAATTCGCCGGAAATGAACCGGAACTTTTGTCGGCGACCGGAAATCCGGCGAGTCGGAGAGGAACAGTTGAAGCTTCTGTGACCACACTATGTGGCCAAGCGGATGGGGAATATATCAATGGCTTCAATTTCAGCATCTTTGAACATCACCCGTACATTCGGCTTTGACCGTAATTGCTCGATAATAAATAAGAAAATAATAGGCAAAAAGGCTTTTAACCGTACCCGATTGTCACGTGGTAAAGGAGCTTTCAAAATTCACATGGGAACACTTCAACTTGAGTATAAGTGAACTAACAAACAACTTCTACATTGAATCATAGCGGGTGCATTATAATTTCACAAATGTGACAAACCTACCACGTGTTAGGTGCAAAAACCCACTAAGCACCAACTATTTCCCATTCATTTTTTTTTACCTAAAATACCCATTTTTATTTTTATTTTAAGTCGCCTCTCTCAATTTCCCTCTAACATTTTCAATCGTATGCTCAAATGGAGAGAACGATTGTCATATGATTTTTCGCTCATTAGATCATCTGAAGGTTGTGTTTATTTTTCTTTCAAAATCGGTCCCAAAATAAGAATCCGAGACAATCGTGTACCGTCGCTTTCTCCTCCACCAGAAACATAGAAGTCATTAAAGGTCTGATTATTGTCTTTCATGAAAATTCTGGTTGTTTTCTTGTATTTTTATTCGTTATTGAAGATGATCATGATAGAATAATATTTTGTATGCATGCAATGGTTTTTTTGTTATTTAGGGTTTAAAATTAGGGCTTTTTGGAATAAGATACTAAATTCTTATTTTTTTCTCTGGATTTTGTCGGTTCCATCGTTGATTTGGCATATAGGGTTAAAAAATTAGGACTTTTTATCATATCGAAAAATTTTATCTCTTAAAATGATAAAGTTAGGGTTCTTTTCCCGCATTTGCTTGTTCTTTTCAAAGACGTGTTCAGATAATATTGTCTCTTTCTTTTGAATATTTTACTGATGTGGACTTATCTTATTTTCATAGGCGTAGTGAGGCGGGATGGTTGTTCTTGTGAAATTACAATTTCACAATCAGGGACAACTGATAGCTGGCCCATTAATGAGGTATGAAAATGGTATAACATGACATACTATTGTAACTGCTGACACCGATGAATTGCATGTTATTCAATTCAACAAATGGGCAAATGATATGAGGTACTTAGGTGTGGAGAAATTTGCATGTCAAAGTCAATAAAAAGGGACCATTTCGATTTATTAAGTATGATGTTGATGTGTTAGAATTCTTCAAGGACTTTCATGATGGGGATTTTATTGATGTTTATTTATGTCACATTGTTAATATACCATGTGTTGATATTGAATTGGATGAAATGTTAAGTAGTAGTGTGGACCCCAGTGATATCCCTATGACCAAACAACTAGCTTTAGTGAAGTGCCAAAGAGGCAAACAAGTAAAGCTAATGTTAGGGCAATAAACTCACCTACCAATGATATAAATATTGGTTGTTTCACTGAGGGGAAAGGTAAAGGGAGGGTTGCTGATATAGAAGAGTCTACTGAGGATGAAGGGGTGTTCTACAACTTTCATCTAGCCATAGATTCGGATTGTGATGAATTTGAGAGTAATTCTGAAAGCGAGGATGTTGAATATGAGGGTGTTTTTGCTTAAAAGGATACATATGACTCACTTTATGATGTTGATGAGGATGTTGTTAGAGAGACAAGTAATATAGAAGCTGACATTGTTGCTGCTAGACAACAACAATGGAGTTTGGGGAGGGTAGTGTGTACGCAGGTCTTACCCCTACCCTGGGGTAGAGAGGCTATTTCCTATAGACCCTCGGCTTTCTCCCTCCAAGAACTCCCCACCTTGCTCTTGGTGTGACTCGAACTCACAACCTCTTGGTTGGAAGTGGAGGGTGCTCACCACTAGAGAAATTCACTCTTGTCAAAAGAACTGAAAAGAGAGATCTAGTAATGTTAATGTAGATGAGCTACCTAGTGGTCCAGTAGGCATTGGCCCTGGATTTGAAGACATTTACAAGGAAATGACTGCTAAATATTCTGGCAAATCGGGAGGGGATGAGCAGTACCTAGACAGTTTAGATCCAGGGAGTGAGGATAGTACTAATGATGATGTAGATGCAGATGATGAGGTGCATAACCTTCCTCCAAGAAGATACAGTAGAAAGGTCTACTTTGACCCTAACTGTAGGAAAATTATTTTTCAAGTGGGAATGGTCTTTGAAAATGTTAGACAATTTAGATCTGCTTTACAAGACTATGCTGTACAGAGGAGAGTTCAGTTAAAGTTGAGACCAAATGAGAGGAATAGGATCAGGGCAACATGTTTGAACTCTAGTAGATGTAGATGGCATATTTTAGGCAGTTTATAGGGCCACACACAAAACTTCATTGTTAACACATTCATGCTTCCTAGTCACAAGAAACAAGCTTCCTAACACAACTTAGATAGTTAAACATTACAAAGATAAGATCCTAAATCAGTATGATATAAAGCTCAAAAAGTTGCAAGAGCTGATAAGGATTAAGTATGGTGTGTATATAGGAAAAATAATATATGCCAGGGCTAGACAGAAGGTAACGGGTAAGTATTTAGGTAATTACAAAATGGAGTTTGCTAGGGTTTATGATTATGCTGACATGATAAGAACTACTAACCCGGACAACACTATTGTGGTGAGGATTTTAAAAGAAATAGAACCCGGCAAAGAGGTCTTTGTGAGGATATACATGTGTTTACATGCTTTGAAAACAGATTGGTTAGAAGGGTGTAGAAATGTAATTAGATTTGATGGTGCATTTCTAAAGGGAGTGTGTAAAGGTGAGCTATTGTCATGTATTGCTAAGGATGGTAATAACTAGATGTACCCTGTTGTTTGGGCAGTGGTTGAGAAAGAGACCAAGAACAGTTGGTCTTGGTTTTTTAGGTGTCTAATGGAGGAGTTGAAACTGACAGAATTTGAAGGTGAAGGACTAACAATTATGTCTAATATGCAGAAGGTATGTGTATTGTTTTAATCTTATTTTTTACTTTAATATTTAAGATTGCATTGGATGAACTCTAACAGTGTATTTTTGTTGTTCAAGTTGTATTTGAATTGATGCCAAATGCTGAGCATAGAATATGTGCAAGGCACATATGGAGCAACTGGAAGAAAATCTGGAGTGGTGAGGAAAGAAGGAAGAAGTTCCGGGGTTGTGCAAGAGTTTCATTTGAAGCATTTCTGAAGGTTAAACTAGATGAGTTGGCAAAATTGGGTGGGAATAAGATAATAGAAGACTTGCTTAGATATCCCAAACAGTTATGGTGCACGACCTTTTTTCAAGAACAACATGTGTGAGACCTTCAACAGTTGGATACTTACTTCTAGACACAAGTCAATCATAACCATGTTGGAAGAGATCAGAGTGAAGGTAATTGAGAGGATGACTAATATGAGAGAATTTGCTACAAAGTGGAATTCTGATATATCTCCTATGGCAATGAGGTACATTGAAGAGCAATCTATAAGAGCCACCAAACATGAATATAAATGAAATGGGGACACTGGATTTGAGATCCAAGATGGAATTTACAAAACATAGTTGATTTTGTAAAGAAGGAGTGCATATGTAGAATGTGGCAGTTGAAAGGCATACCCTGCTCCCATACACTTTGTGCAATTTTTTTAAAAAGGTATGACACTGCTGACTATGTTGAGCATTGGTATAAGAAGAAAACATACCTCAAGGCTTTCAATTGTTACATTCAACCTACGACCAATATGGAGATGTGGCCTCCAACTCAAAATCCCAAAGTTGAGCCTCATGCAATTACTAAGATGCCTGGTAGACCTAAGAAACATAGAAAGAAGGCTCCAGATGAACCTACAAAGAAATATGGTAAGAGATCAAGGAAGGGGACACCAATGACGTGTTCTAATTGCAAGACAGTATGGCATAACAAGAAAGGTTGTGCAATCCTGGTAAGAATCAAATGCTTCTTATACTTTAAGTGTTTTTTAGTCTTTTGCTGAATTTTTATGTTCTGGGTGTTTTAGAAAGGTCAAAGTTCACTTGCTGGTGCTGGGAGTAATACTACAAATGCACGTGCTACAACAACTGCATCAGGAGGTCATTATGGTACTACTGCTGGTGGTGGATCTGCAGCACAACAATCTGCTACTATTGCAACAGCTAGATCCGCAACACAACAAAATTCTGGAACTACTGCTGATAGTGAATGAGGAACACAACAATCTGGAACTAAAGAAGAAAGATCAAGGACTCCTCAACAAATTCTTAGAACTTTAGGTGAAAGGCCTAGGACTGCTGGATTTGGAATACTATTTGGTGAATAAGGGACAATCATAGAGAGGGTAAGTATGTGAAATTCTCTCCAATTATTGTGTCTAATTACTATACTAAGTTCTAAATTATATTTCTATTTGGATGTAGTTTGAGTTAAGGGACAGAGTCACATATGATCCTAGGCAACCAATTGATGCTAGTCAGATCAATATTGATCTTAGATATAGAGCACCTAGACTAAGGTGGAAAGGAACAAATGCAGTAACACAAAGGCAGCTTCAACAACGGGCTAGAAGGAGACAAACTTAGGCAACCCTAAGCCAATCTGAAACTCCTTCTTCAACCAAGCCTGAGTCAATCGCACTCTAACTTCAACCTGTCTCACCCACAATGATTTGAAAAAATATTTCTTTTTGTGAAAGTTTAAGTTTGTTAGTATCAAAACTTATTTGTAGGTTATTTTATGGAAGATTTGGTTTGAAATATTCAGAACTTAGTTGTAAACTTGTTTCTGCTAGTATGCAGATTTGATGGCCTACTAGTGACAATCCAAATGGATATTTTGAACTTGTCTAATATATGTTCAGATGTCAATGCTAAGCATAACTATTCATTGCAGCAAAATACTTCATACACTTGACATTGTCATTGTTTGTTAAGAATAAATATACAATACAAAGGTTCTAAGATAAGAATAACACTACAAAGAGCAGTGCATCAACAACAAACACAATTACATATTGTTTTCCCATGTTCCTTCGCTGCTCATTGACGCGAATTCTTGATAGCAATCCTGAAATTACTAGCTTGTAATGATCAGGAAGAGGTGGGTCAACCCACCTGAAAAAATTACAGCAACCAGTTATACCATAATTTGAGCATCATAAGAACCTTCTACCCGGATTGGTGAGCTTCCAGGTTATGCACACAACTACGTCAACTTTGCAATGACAAACTATACAACTTTTCATTGTATTCTTGGCCTGAAGAATAAAATATCCACCTAGAGAAGAAATAATTTGACTTGAATCTGTAAAAAATTTGAAGAGAAGAAGAGATTTAGAGCTTGTATAAGTCAAAAATGGAGGTTGTAGGCCAAAGGAGGAAGAAGAAGCCCTCTAAATAGATGGGCCCTTGGGTTTATTACCGTTGACCATTGAAAAAAATCACATTCACGCTCCTGCCAGGCGTGACTTACATGCACAACAGCTGACTAGGAATAACTGATGCCACATAGATTGATTCAACTGTTAGGGGTATTTATTAGTTCACTTATGCTCAAGTTGAAGTGTTCATATGGAAATTTTGAAAGTTTATTTACCGGCATGACAATCTGGTACAAGTTTAAGTGGCCAAGAGGCCATTTTGCCAAAAAAATAATAAGACGATTATTTCTTCTTTATTTTTAAAGGATGAAAATTATAAAAATAAAAATTGAGGACTACCAATATTTTTTCTTTTTATAAAGGTACACAAATTAAATAAGCATCATTTTTTTTCCTGACTAAACACATCAATGACTTTACGATCAAAGTTTGACTCTTATCATATCATCATATCATATCATATAATATAATATTATAAGTGTAAAGTTTAAAGTACAAAATTAAAAGACCAAAAAATTCAATAAAAATAAATTAACCTTTTTGCCCTTCATTTTGAACACCACTTAATTTTTGTACCAAAAGGTAAAAATATCTCATACTATTCTATGGTAACATAAAATAAATTTAGCAAAAACAAGAGAAATATAAATCATACGAGTGGAAAGATAGTAATCAAGTTAACTGGGACTCAAGAATAAAGTTTATTTGAAGATTAATATCCAACAAGAGAAATCTAAATCATACGAGAGAAAAGATATCAAATACCTTGTGGCTTACTACTGAAGATCGCTAGAATACCTAGTGGCTTGCTACTCAAGACGTTTGAACTAGTTTAGTTTCAATACGAGTCGTATAATAAGTTTGGAAGTTGGGACTCTAGGTATTAATTACTTGGTTAGTTGTATCCATTTCCATAATCCCACGGCTGAAGAAAAAAAAAAACTTAATACTTTGTTAATTCTAAATTTAGTATATAAAATATATTTTTTATATATAAATTTATTCGGTACGGTTCGGTATTTTTTTGGTTTATTTTATAAAATTAAAAACCTACCATATTATTCGGTATGACTATAAATTTATATAAAAATTGACAATTTTGTTAAAATAAGCCTACTAATCGGTTCAATACGGTTCAGTTCAGTTGGTTTAGTCGGTTTTTAAAGATCCATTGACAATATATATATATATATA